ATAAACATGACAAGTCTTAAGTAAGAAGAGCATTTCTTGCAGTGCATCTATGCTCTGTTGAGCCTCTTCTGAACTTCTGCTAGAGCCAAAATGGAGGACACGGCCATCTCAAAAACAATAAAACCCCTGAGTGGTTGAGTCATAAGAAGCTGGTGAACAGAAAAAAAAAAGAGTTAAGAGGAGAAAGATCAGCCGTTTGAACGAGTGGAGCAGGTTGGATTATAGGACACGTCATTATTTCAAGCTGAGCAGCTTTATTCACATTCACACATGGATCACGACATCTTCCTCCTTATAGTAACGTCTGACACTGCTTTCATTTACACATTTTGGAGTATTACAAATATAGTTGAAGTCTGAATTATTCACCCTCCTGTATATTTTCCCCTCAATTTCGGATAGTTTTCATAACTTATTTCTAATAACAGGTTTCTTTTGTCATGATGACTGTACATAATATTAGACTAGATATTTTTTAAGATACTAGTATTCAGCCTCAAGTGACTTTTAAAGGCTTCCTAAATGATGTTGAACAGATTCAGGGATTTTTCACAGTATTTCCTATAATATTTTTTCTTCTGGAGAAAGTTTTATTTGTTTTATTTCAGCTAGAATAAAAGCAGTTTATAATAGTTTTAAAGCCATTTAAGGTCATTAATATTAGCCCCCTTTACCAGTTAAACTGCTGTTATTTTGGGATTTCCGTCTGGATTTTGCCTACCCAAATTTAAAAGCTTCTCAAATCCACATGCAGGGGTGTAAATGCAAAAATTTGGTCTCATTTTAAAGAAAACCTCTTGAATTTTCATAAAATACTATTGAAAGTGTTTAAAATATCTGTATATGTCGTCTGTGTTATAATAAACACCTAAAAAAGAGGCGCTTTTTGTTTTTTTTTATATACTCAGATTTGAAAGTGTCTCTTTCAGGTTGTGTGTGTTCTAGCGTGCTGTAATTAATGTTGCTGGTTCCTGCACATGTCTGTAATCATAGGACAAAAGAGAAATGTCTCCACCATAATCTATGCAGAAGTGATTGTGTTCCAGCTGATGAGAGGTGCTGTACACACAGGGAGCGATCCTTGTGTTCATATTTCACTATTCTTTTGTTTGATCAAACATAATTCACTGTGTTTGGAGCACGTCAGACATATAAAAGGATCACTTATGCACATCAGCTCAAAAACAGAGGAGAATGGCCCTGAAGCGCACAGCATAAGGTAAGAGATGAGCTGTCTGTGCTATCTGGGGCTGCTTATTGACCATAAATGTATTGTTTTCACTTCTGCGCCATGGAAACACCGAGATTCATTCAGCAACTGTTTGATATGTGAATATAATTCAGTAAAAAGAACGCTAGAACCATATGAGCACCGGCAAGAGCTTTCATTTCAGCTATAACTTGTACATGTGTCATATGAGAAATATGAAAATGAACCAATGTTCAATACTCAGCTCAGGTATCTAAAATACTGTGTATTTAAGTGTAAATAACTTTTGTACAGTAGAATAAAAACCAAAGTGATGTATATGTGCATGAAATATAGATTCTACACTTTCAAACGACACCACTTACGGGGGTCTGGTGCAATGCTAGCCCTTTAAATCCTAAAGCGAAAGTCGATGACGTCACGCACCCGGCGGAGTTTAACTGGTTAAGCTATATTTGTTCTGGATAGTCTACAGAACAAACCACTGCTATACAATGACTTGCCTAATTAACCTAATTACTAGGAGTGTAACAATGTATCATGGTTCAATTTATTGCAATACAAAAATGTCACACTATGCATCGTAGCATTATGGCCTCTGTTTTCTCTTATCGGTTGAGCTACATTCCACCTGCTGTCCCATGCCTTCAGATTGCTTAAACTAGCAGCAGTAGCAGGCCAATATGAGTGTAGCTGAAATAGAGGATGTCTCGTCCTCTTATAAGTCCAACATCTGGCAATATTTTGGTTTTCAAGTTACTGAAGAGGACGGTAACAAGAAAACAGACAAAACACGAACTGTGTGTAAACAATGCTGCCATACAAAGCTGCAAACATAACGAATATGATGTGCAATCTAAGCCGTCACCACAGCGCCAAAGTGCATTCGAGTGTCTCACTTAAATGCCAAAGCTGAAGAAATAACAAGAGTATTTGTGGCAAAATAAATGACACCCAGCTAGCAAAATGAGTAATTAAAACTATTATGTTTAGAAATGTGTTGAAGAAATCGGTAACACTTTATTTTGATGGTCCATTTGAGTATTAGTAGACTGTCTGCTTAATATCTCCTTCAACAGATATTTAACTGACCATAAGAAACTTTGCAAGTCAACTTGCACTAACCCTAACCCAATTAAACAGGCTACAAATAATCTACTGAGAATTAGTTGCAATGTAATTTAAATTCAATCATCAAAATAAAGAGCGACCAAGAAATCTCCTCTCCTTTAAGCAGAAATTGGACAAAAATATACACAGGACGTCAAATAATTCTGTCTTCAACTGTATCTGTGAGTGGAGATGAGATGTTAAACCTGCCTGTAACTCTATATGCTGAGATACTCTTGGCGTCTACTGTACGCAGCGCTGGAAGGAATCTTTCCCTCCCTCCAAACCCTTTAGTCTGGATTTTATCCTCCCCCTTCGCTGGAATCTGTTTCTCGCCTGCCAACAAAGCCGAGGCACACCTTTTTTTCCATTTCATCACAATTCAGGATTTGGGAAGAAAAAAGGCAAACAAAGAAAGCACATTTGGAAGGCATTTATGGGGGCCGATAGAGTCAAAGATGATACAAACACACTGTCAATAAACCAAACGCAGCTTTAAAAGCCTGGCCCAGCTAGCGAAATTCATGAGGCTCAAATCTGGCCCACGCCACACACTCACATCCTGCCCACATACCGCATGGAATGATGGCACTTGGGCGGTCCGCTCCTGTTTGCCAGATCTGGGCCACAATTAAGCCAAAGCAAGATCACATGTCAGCCAGAATTCTACCAAATGAACCAGAACTGACCCTATTCTGGGCCACAGTTTGCTTTTATTTTGGCCCAGATCCGGCCCACAGCAGACACTTACATCTGGACCACATACTGAATGGAATGATGCCTCCAGGGCGATCCGCTCCTGTTTGTCAGATCTGGGCCATAAATAAGCCAAAGCAAGATCACATATCAGCCAGAATTTAACCAAATCAACCAGAACTGACCCTATTCTGGGCCACAGTTTGCTTTTATTCTGGCCCACATCCGACCCACAACAGACACTTACATCTGGACCACAAACTGAATAAAATGATGGCTCTAGGGCGGTCCGCTCCTATTTGCCAGAACTGGGCCACAATTAAGCCAAAGCAAGATCACATGTCAGCCAGAATTCTACCAAATCAACCAGAACTGACCCTATTCTGAGCCACAGTTTGCTTTTATGCTGGCCCAGACCAAGCCTATTACTTCTGATAATGGATTAAACGTTGGTAAACATACGTGAATTATATTATTTCATCACAGGTTGTGCCTCACTTCATTTTGTTTGCTGTAATGAACAAACTTTTTGAGCAAAGTTCCTAAAAGTTTCAGAAGCCCAAAAGAAAATGTTTATTAAGAGGTTCAGGGCTATGAGCCCAACTAAAGCAAACACTTTTCTCCATGATGGTGACTTTAGGCTATGTGGTCCACATATGTTTTAAGATAACTGGGCCACATTTTCCATATCTTCTCTGGGCCACTATAGGCTCAAAACCACATTAGCCAAAGCTTACTGTGTTGAATATTTGCCAAAAGTGGCCCACATATGTTTTAAGATAACTGGGCCACATTTTCCATATCTTCTCTGGGCCACTATAGGCTAATGGCTGCATTAGCCAGAGTTTACTGTGCTGAATATTTGCCAAAAGTGGCCCACATATGTTTTAAAAAAACTGGGCCACACATGCCATATTTTCATTGGGCCACATTAGGCTCACAGCCGCAATAGTGAGAGCTTACTGTGCCAAATATTTGCCAAAAGTGGCCCACATATGTCTTAAGATAACTGGGCCATATTTGCACTTACATAAGTGAGCCACTTTAGGTTTAGACCCAGATCACACCTAATTGGGCTCACATTCAGATTACATTTTGCCATAAGTGCCAAATCCTTGCCTTAAATGGCCCATATATGAATTTGAATCTTTGTCCTCCCTTTGCCATTGAACAGGTGGGCCACTTCAGGCTCACACTCATTTTGTCTGGGCCGAAGGAAGACCACCAATGCCGCATAACTGCCTAAAGTGGCCCACATTCATATGCTATCTGGGGAAGATTCATTAGACTTCATTAAAATCTGCATGAACCAAAAGCTGCAAACATTTATTTTATACTGCGATCCAGAAAAACAGAATATTAAATGAGAAAACAGTGGGCGTGGCTTGTAATTTATAGTGCAAGCAAATCAAAAGGGTTTGATTTAGGATGATTTCATTAGGACAGTAAGGTCTGACTTAAATAATGACAGAAATAATGTCCAGTCTAGAATATAAAGTCCTGCTGCAGTGGAGACAGAATGAATATTGTGTCTGACTCCATCATGAGCTTGGAGGACTGCATCCATACATCTCTGACATGACTCAAATCACTGATTAATAAAGTCATCATGGCAAAGAAAGCGTTCAGCAGGACTCCCAGAGTTCATCAAGACTCTTTCTGTTCATCTTCAACACCTCCTCCTTCATCATGCTCAATAATGTTGATGTCTGGTGACTGGGCTGGCCAATCCTGGAGCACTCTTTGCTTTTTTCCTACCAAACTTGACTGATTTCTCTGAGACTATTCAGTCCATGCTGGTTCCAGTAGGTCTTCTGCAGTGATTCTGATGATCCATGGGAAAAATCCACCTTCTGCCACTTTTCCAAATGATCAACTAGAAGTCGAGTTATTATTTGATGCTCTTACAACTACGATCCGCGCCAAGACGTTTGTCAGGTAGAGATCAATAGTGTGTGCATGTCTGTATGTGTTTCACACTCACCCAGGTTGGGCTGAGAGAGGGCCATGGAGCGCTGCTGGATGCTGGCGGTGTTGGAGACCTGATTATGGAGGCTCAGCTGGGCCACCGAGGGCGTCATGCTCTTCCTGGGGTCGTGCCATGTGGTGATCTTCTCAATGTGACTGCACAACAAACACAGAAAACATTCAGTTAGTTAGTGTACAACACTCTCATCTCGCAAGTATACATCACTTTGTTGAGATTAGATCCTAATCTAATCAGTGGACACCCTTCCAGCTGCAACCCAATACTGGGAAACACCCATGCACACTCACATTCACACACACACTCATGCACTACAGCCAATTTAGTTCATTAATTCCCCTTTAGCGCATGTGCTCGGACTGTGAGGGAAACTGGAGAGTTCCACACAGAAATGCCAAAGACTTGAACCAGTGACCTTCTTGCTGTGAGGCCACAGTGCTAACCGCTGAGCCACCATGTCACCCTCTATGCAATGTTGTATTCTCTAATACAAATAAGTTGTTCGTAGACTGTGTTGTTCTGTTGGCTTCATCGAACACGGACCTTCAGCATGCACTGGGGCGGTTTGTTCCCGAGTGTGACGTGGCTCACATGAGAATCAGCTCCTCCAAGTCCTGGTGCACTCCCAGAAAAAGGTGGATTGCAATCTCCAGGTTGGAGGAAAGTCCTTTTCCCAGATTGAGTTTAAGTATTTTGGGGTTTTGTTTACAAGTGAGAGAAGGACTGGACACAGGCGGATTGGTGCAGTGGCAGCAGTAATGTGGTCTATGCATCGGTCGGTTGTGGTGAAAGAGGAGCTGAGCCGAAAGGCAAGGCTCACGATTTACCGCTCAATCTATGTTCCAACTCTCACATAAGTTTATGAGCTTTAGGTCATGACTAAAAGAACAAGATCTCGAATACAAGCGGCCAAAGTGAGTTTCCTTCGAAGGGTGGCAGGGTGCTCTGTCACCCGGCAAGAGCTCGGAGTAGAGCCGCTGCTCCTCCACATCCAGAGAAGTCAGCTGAGGTGGCTCTGGCATCTGTTTTGGATGCCTACCTAGGGAGGTGTTCTAGGTATGTCCCACCAGGGGGAGGCCTCGGGACCTAGGACACGCTGGAGGGACTATATCACTTGGCAAGTCTGGAAACTCCTCAGGATCCCCCGGGAGGTGCTGGAGGGAGTGTCTGGGGAGAGGGAAGGCTGGAGTTCTCTCTTAAGACTGCTGCCCCCGCGACCCGGCCCCGGATAAGCAGATGAAAATGAGATGATGACATGGATTGTTAAAACAGTGTGTGTGTGAGTGTGGTGTCCATATCTGGATCTGCACACCCCGAGCGAACGCTTCAAAACTTGCAGCGACGGGAAATTCTGGCTTCTCTACATTTTTTCAACGCAAGGTCACGATTAGCAGCAGACAGACGCTAGTTTACGATCTCACAGTCCGTCTGTCAGTGTATTCTCACATTATACTGTAGTTCAGGGTTTTAAAACCTGCAGGTCTGACCCTGGCTCACGTTCATCAACCCTGATCGACCGCTTCAGTTGAGTTTCACTGGAAATGAACCATGCAGATCTGCAGGATCCAGAGTTATGATGATTGCTGAATGACATTGGTCTTTTAAAGAAACAGTGGAGCGGTTCCAGCGTTACACAAGACATTGAGGCGTGCACTCGAGTAAATTATGATGAATTTTTAGGATTAACGTTGGCTACACAGCTAATATCCGGCACCTGTAAGGTTGTATAATGCGTTCCAGTACAATATACACAAATAAAATGGAGCGGGTGCTTATTAAAACTAATGACGGTGAATGACTGAAAGTCAAACCGGTGAGGCCTTTAGATGGACATCAGTAATCTAGTTATTTACGTTAATCTGAATAAGACAGTAATATAATTACGTGAAGTGCTTTTTGAAGGTTGCGACACCTGGCTATTCACGTTTCCTGCAGAATCTTGTGTAGTTTTAAATGTTTCATCTTCAATTTCTCGACTTTAACTGCAGTTCGGCAGTTTCACTTTCACTTATGAACATTTCACTCATGCCTCCGTCTCAAACTGGGGTATTTGACGTGAATATAACCGACTGGCAGAAGAGTGTTGTTTTTATTGAAACCGCACGTTTCAATGGAAAGAAAAAACGTCCGCATTTTGCGATGTGTGTGTATGTGTATCGAAAAGTCCTACATGATAGTTTGATTGTGGTGTTTACTTCAATAATGCCGTTAATATCTGCACACTCCCCATGTCTTAATTCCATTTCTGTTTATGACTTTAAACAATCGAAAATCGCTGTTTACATGGTAGACTCATAACCCGAGTATTGTCTTAATCATATTACAATCGTACTGTTGCCCATGTAAACGTACTTAATAGTCGACTCAACCACATCAAACTTGGCATTGCGAAGCACGGAAGTCATGCTTATTGGCAATGGAAGATGATTTAAAGTTAGTCGTGTCAAGAATTCGGCCATAGATTAGTATGTTGTCCTCACAGAAACAGGTTCAGCCATCCCACTGAATCAGGTCAGCTGTATATTTATGTTTCAATGTAATTAATTCTACACACTTTAAACGCAGCAGGTAATATTTGAATGATGTTTGAGCAACTTATCCAGTATGTGTTTTACGCAGCGGATGCCCTTCCAGCTGCAACCCAGCTCTGGGAAACACCCACACACACTCATGCACACTCATACACTATGGTAAAATTAGCCTACCCAATTCTCCTGTACCGCATGTGTTTGGACTGTGGGGGAAACCGGAGCACCCGGAGGAAACCCACGCGAACCCAGGGAGAACATGCAAACTCCACACAGAAACGCCAACTGACCCAGCCGAGGCTCGAACCAGCGACCTTCTTGCTGTGAGGCGACAGCACTACCTACAGCGCTGCCTGTAGATAAACCATTACTGATGATACTACTGTTTGCAAACTACATTGGCACCGCAAGTATTTTGGAGCAATAGTATTGTGATACTACCATAGTACTGGTAAACTGTGCAACCCCAGCACTAAGCGCTATTCTGACGTAATAATCAAGAAACGTTGCTGCTGTAGCAGTGCAGTATTGCACAATGCCTGCAAAACCAACAATATCAGCCTAGAAAATAGCAGCTTTTCATTTACCGTCAGTTTTAGTACACAATATATCTATATAATCAAGAAAAAAACACATGAAGTCTCTCCGGAAAGTTCCTAGTTCTATATTTATAGCTATAATTGCATATCATTACAAGTTTCAGCTTCAAATATCACACAGATAATGTTCTATAACTCTCTAAAACTGACTTTAAATCCTAACGGTGGCGTTTTGGTGACTGTCGCTTTAAATGCAAATGAGATTGTGCTCTTTTCAGAAGAGGGCGGAGCTACAGATGCCTGTGTGTCAGCATAATGGCAGATTCAAAAAGAGTATTGACTTCCTATGCTAATGAGGGAGAGATGGTCACTAGTGGGCGGGGCTTTCTCCCTCTGATGACATCATACAAAGGGAGAATGTCAATCAAAGTGCTTCTGCAGACTGTTTTAGTCAAGTCTGATTATAAACAATACAATTAATACACTTTCACCATTAGAGGCTGCATATATTCACATAACTGTGTTTACACCCCTTATAAAAGTGTGTTTTGCATAATAGCTCCCATTTAAAAAAAATTCCCAGTTTTTTAAATACTTAATGTGATCATCCTTGCTGACGTTTCTGCGCACAACACAGTCAAATGATCTATTAATCGCTTTTATACAGTGCACAAATGGTGTAGAGTCAAAAAAATTACATATATAGCTCTAATAACCAATCAATATCAAGATCTGGGCTCACTTTATCCCTAAAAATCATAATTGTGTAAGCATTCAGGCTGATTTTACTCCAGGGCAGCAGCGCATTTCCATTTTTAACTTTAGAGACACGTTTCCGCTTCTAAACATCTTCCTGGGTCGGTTACATTCTTCACAGGTTGCTATTTTGTGCTCGTTTGTACACAGACCGGGCCTCAAATCAGTGTGTGGTCACGTGAATCACAGAATACACACAAGAGTGACTGACACACACACACACACACACTGGGAGATTATCTGCTTCCTGCTGATCTCGGACAGGACAGGAAGCCTGTTCTCCATGTGCGTCTGTTCAGATTTGAGGATGAGTCATATATTCATATACAGCTGAAAGCAGAAGTGTACATTCGCTGTATAAAAAGGCACATAAGCATTTATAAAAGAGTGAGATGTTAATGTACTAAACTTGTTCTCTCTTAGGTAAGTTAGGATGATCAAATGTGTTTCTGTTCTGCTGAATAGTAGAATAATGAGAGAGATATTTGTTGAGAAAACCTTTCCTGAAAGTCAAGTTTACACACAATAAGATTATTCTGCCTCTGATAAGGCTCAGATGATGATGTCAGGGTTTTGGAAGTTTCTGATTGGCTGATTGACAACATTTGAGTTAATGTGAGGCACAACTGTAGAATAGTATTGAAGGAGAAGCTCAAACACACTGCTTCCCTGTGTGACAACATGAGAAAATCAACAAGCCAGAATCAACAACAAAGCCAGATTACAGTTTGCTGAATGACACTGATGTGTGGAGACATGTCCTGTGCTCTGATGGAGCTGAGATTGAACTGTTTGGCCATAATGAGCAGTGTTACATCTGGAGGACAAAGGGGAACAAGCCTAGAACACCATCCCAACTGTGCAATATAGGGGCGGCACCGTCATGTTGTGGGGCTGCAGGAGGGACTGGTCCACTTCACAGCATAGATGGCATCATGAAGACAGAACATTATGGAGAAATACTGAAGCAACATCTCAACACATCAGCCAGGACATTACAACTTGGCCCCAAATGGCTCTTCCAGACAGACCATGACCCTAAGCACACTGCCAAATGAGTTCACATGTGCTTTAAGGACAACAGAGTGAATGTTTTGGAGTGGCCATCATGAAGCCCTGATCTCAATCCTATAGAGAATGTGTGGGCAGAGTTGAAAAAGCTTGTGCGAGCAAGACAGCCTACAAATCTGACTCAGTTACAGCAATTCTGCAGGAGGAATGGGCCAAAACTCCTGCAAACTATTGTGAGAAGCTTGTGGAAGGAGACCCAAAACATTTGACTAAAGTTATACAGTTTAAAAGCAAAGCTAAAAA